ACTACGTGGGAGTCCAGCGACATAGCCATTACGCTAACTGCTGGTTCTCAACTCCTCACTTGTTAATTCATGTATTCCACAAGTCTTAAATGTCTACAGCTAATGTCTGCACTTCTGCTAGGTTCTGGGAGTGTGATGTTGCGTTAAGAGCAATATGGTTGGGGTCGGCAGGTGGCATGGTGGTTAAAGGCACTGGATGCCCACATGGCCGACCGCAGTTAGAGTCCAGACCTGGCGGCTTGCTCTCTCACTTTCTCTTTCTCTCTCTCTTTGTCTTTCTCTGGTCAATTTAAAAAGTAATAATAACAAATGGAATGAAATAAACAAATAATTCTTTTTTTAAGCAACACATAATTTTATTACAACTGGGGCCGGCAGGTGGTGTGGTGGTTGGGGCATTGGACTCCCTTCTGGCCAACTTTGGTTCGAATTCCAGGTCAGGTGACTTGCTTTCTCACTTTCTCTCTTTGTCTCTCTCTGGCCAAATTAAAAAATAATCATAATAAATAGGATTAAGTAAACAATTCTTTACAAAATGATTTCATCACAACCGGACACGCGCTGCAAAGGGACCAGTGCACGGGGAGAGCTCAGCACAGGGAGCCTCGCTTCCCCGGAGACTTGGGCATCCGCCAGCACTCGGTTCTGCCGCAGGGGGAAGAAACGCAAAATAACTGAGGCTTACACAAGACCGAAGTCTGGAGGTGGGTGGTTGGCAGGGAGAGAGGGCCGCATGGCACCTCAGGGTCAGGAGCCAGGCTTTGTCCTGTGCTCTGCCACCCTCCCACACGTGGCTTTCTCCCCTAGTCTGAGCAGGGTACTCAAGTCGAGTAAGTTTCCCTCACGACAAGATCTCCCAGTACCCGGCGCTTCTGTCTGTAAAACACTCAACCAGATGTAATGAAATTTCTCATTGTTGAATGTCTAGGTGTCGGGTTGGAGTGGTGGCCGTGTGTGTCACCTAGCACTGCTCCTGCAGCACCCTGGCAGGTGCCATGATACCCAAGTATCCAGGTAAGTCCTTGATACTTACTGAATATATGCATACACACACATGTATATACATATGCATACACATATGCACGCACATACATATACATGTATGTATATGTGCACACATATACACAGAGAGACACACGTATACACATACACGTATATACACACATACATATACGCGCATACACACGCGTGCACACACACACACCTATACTGATAATAATTTTTTTTTTGGGAGAGATTTTCACTGTAGGGCGCGTGCGCTCGCCAGACAGACAGAGAGAGACATAGAGACAGAAAGCGAGAAATCACCCCCTGGGGGGATGGTCACGCTGCAATCCCTTCTCCTCCATTCTCCTCTCCGGATCTTGGGCACGCACGCACACGCGCCCGGTGTGAGTTTTAAGCCACCGGGTCCGGGACACGAACCGTGGTCGACTACGTGGGAGTCCAGCGACTTAGCCATTACTCTAACTGCTGGTTCCCCTGATATTAAATTTATGGGAGGGCCTGCCAGCAGTGTGGTAGTTAAAGTGGCTGGATCTCACGTGGCCGGCGCATGGTTCAAGTTCTGGACCCAGTGACCTGAAGAACACGGCAGATGTGTGTGCCTGTGTGCCCAAAACCCTGCAAGGAGGGAGAGATGGAGAAAAAAAGGATTGTGGCATGATCACTTACGAGAGGGTGTGTCTGTTCACCAGAGAGAGACAAAAAGGGAGAGAGTAGAGCAAGAAAGCCCCCCAGGGGAGATGGTCACACCGCAATCCCTCCTCCATCTCTCATCTTTTTGGGATTTTTGACACGTATGCACACGCAGTCTGCCACGTGGGATCCGGTCGCCTTAATCGCCAGACCACAGAGCCAGCCCGTTGAGTGCTGTTTTCTTTTTCAAGTTTTTTGTTTTCGTGCCATAGAGCACACACTCATCAGAGAGACAGAGAGAAAGAAAGCAAGAAATCACCCCCCAGGCGGGATGGCCACGCTGCAACCCCTTCTCCTCCGTTCTCCTCTCAGGATTTTGTGCACGCACACACATGCATCCAGTGTGAGTCTGAAGCCATGTCCGGAAGGCCGTGTGGGAGTCTAACCACCACACCACCTGCTGGCCCCTCACTGAGCACTTTTTGAATGCGTGAATAAAGTGGGTTGAACTGGGGTTGGAGGAAAGAAAAGGAAACGACTATGACTATGGAGCCTGCGAGGTGGCGTAACAAGAACGCGGGCTGGCTGTAGGCGAGGGCGAGGGCAGACAGGGAAACCAGAGAGGGCCTGCTTCCTCTAAGAAAGGGCCTCACCACCATGACAGCTCCAGCTGGGCTGATAGGAGAGGGTATACCAGAGTGTGAGCTCGACGTTGGAAACCCAGACATTTATGTGGTATCCCCTCATTTTAACTTGGGTAACACATTTTCAATTTTGTTATAGCACTGGGAAGATCAGACAAACATCCTAAACTTCGGCCCACCAGTTTGCACCCGATGGGCCAGATGAACCATGAGGCCTCCCAGTGCGCTGGAGCCCTGGATCTGTGGCCTGGATAGGCTGTGGAGGTGGACTCCTGGGAGTCAACGAGTCTCAAGGACCTGGCTTCCCCTCTGGGGTTTTCCAAACAGGAAAGGAAAAGAGGAAGAGCCAGTGCATGCGTTCATAGTGAACATTTAGAATTACCGTGTACAATTCTAAAATGTCCTAAAATTTTCATGTGAATGCACGTTATTTAATCTCCGCAAGAATGATAGACTATAGGTGCTGCATTTCACACCACACGGACGAACAGAGATTCCAAGAGTTCTCAAAAATTGCTTAGAGTCATAGGGCAGTAACCACAATTAATGAAATGAGGACTTGAACTTACTGCTAGGACCCCAGCCCCTGGCTTGTCCCCTTCATCACCCTCCCTCTGCCCTCCATTAAGAAACCAGGGTTGAGACTAGCAGATGGTGTAATGGCTATGTCATTGGACTCCCATGTAGTCGACTGCAGTTCGAGTCCTGGACCCGGTGGCTTAAACTCACACTGGTCGTGCCCAAGATTCCAAGAGCAGAATGGAAGAGAAGGGACTGCAGCTTGGCCATCCCCCCTGGGGGGTGATTTCTTGCTTTCTGTCTCTCTGTCTCTCTGTCTGTCTGGTGAGCGCACACACCCTATAGCAAAAACCTCTCAAAAAAAAAAAAAAAAAAAAGAAAGAAAGAAAGCCAGGATGGGGGACTGGCAGATGGCGTAGTAGTTATGTCACTGGACTCCCACATGGCTGATGGCGGTTCGAGTCCCAAACACAGCCAGTGACTTGAAATTCACACTGGGTGCATATGAGTGTATGCTCAAAATCCTGAGAGGAGAATGGAGGAGAAAGGACTGCAGCATAGCTATTGCCTCGGAGGGGTGATTTCTCACTTTCTGTCTCTGTCTCTCTGGCGAGTACACGCGTCCTAAACAAAAAATCTCTCTTGAAAAGAAAAAGAAAAGAAATTCAGGGTGACAGGGAAGAGAAGTCATCTCCCTCAGCAATGTGAGGGCAACAGCTTCATCCGAGGATCTGGGGTTGGGCATCCCATCTACAGACTGGCTTTCCCTTTTCAAAGCACTTGGCATACATGCACTTGCACGGCCGGAGCTCTGGGAGAGGTCTTACTATCCTCACCTCACAGGGGAAGAAACTGAAGTTACACTATGCCCTTCACGTGGCTGGAAGCGTGGCGCATGGGGATTTCCAGAGGCCTCCTGGTTCCTGGTAGGGGCTATTTTTGTTTTGTTTTGTTTTGTTTTTAGGGAGAGATTTTTCCTATAAGGCACGTGTGCTCACCAGAGAGAAAGTGAGAAATCATTTCCGGGGGGATGGCCATACTGCAATCCCTCCTCCATTCTCCTTCTGGGACCTTGAGCATGCACGCACACCGTGCACCACACACCACGCACACATGCTCCCAGCCTGAATCTCAAGCCTCTGGGTCTGGGACTCGAGGCTATTTTTGCTGCGTGTATTTCTCCAGGCTGGAGGAGTGGAGAGAAAGCCAGGCAGAGAGAGCAGGGACAGATGGAGAGCAGAGGGGAGCCATTGTGGGAGGCTACTGAGGGCTAAGACCAGGGTCTCAGAGAGGCCG